CATTGGTTAAATGCTACACTTTTGGTAGATTCCTTTAAAATCCAAACTATTCATTCTGAGCACATTGGAATCTCAGTCACTACTCACCTTGCAAGGTATACACATGAAACATACACACCAAGTATTTATTGATTTATATATAGATATATATAATAGGTATGCATCTATACATATAAACCCACTCATGCAAATCCCCTTTCCCAGGACTTAGTATCAAAAAGGACAAATGAGGGGAATCTCACAAAAAATGAAATTTATTTATTAAAAAATTGTGATTTATTCTTACCTGTTTAAACTTCAGTCACCTTCAAAGTACTCTCAGTTTGATGTAATACAACTAACAAGATGCTTTTTCCACTGCTCAAAAGAGTTTTTGAACTCATCAATTTTGATGCCTTTTAGAGCTTCTGCCATTTTTTGTTTCACCTCTTCCACACGGGCAAAACATTTCCCTTTGAGAAACTTTATTCATTCAAGAAATTTTAAAAGGTCACTTGGGGTGAGATCAGGTGAATACGGAGGGTGGGATATGAGGGTCATGTCATTCTGGGTCAAAAACTGCTGAACACTCAGCGCAGTATGGGCAGGTGTGCTGTCATGATGGAAGAACCAGTTTCCTGTTTGCCACAACTCAGGATATTTCTTCTGCAAATCATGATGCAACCTTCTCAATGCTTCCAGATAAAAACTTCGGTTGACCGTTTGATTCAGAGGAATCAATTCTGAGTATACTACAAAAGATAATTTTGGACTTTTTCGGGTCTCCTCTTGTATATTGGCGTGTGTAGTCGTGCATGCGTGTAATCCCCGCACATTGGGAGGCTGAGGCAGGAGGATTGCTTTAGCCCAAGAGTTCACATACAGCCTAGGCAACATAGTGAGACCTAGTCTCTACAAAAAATCAAAAAGTTAGCTGGGTATGGCGTGTGCCTGTAGTCTCAGCTACTTGGTAGGCTGAGGTGGAAGGATCACCTACGCACGAGATTGCAGTGAGCTATGATTGTGCCACTGTGTTCCAGCCTGGGTGTCAGTGTGAGAGTTTTAACTCAAAAAGGGGGCGGGGAATATATTTAATATTATTTTTAAAGGATCAGGATGAATAAAATATTTTGTTAGGAGACCAAGGCATTCATTTTAGCCAGAGATATAAAGTATCAACTTTGTTGGCATAATGATTACCTATATGTTTTTTAATTCTTTAAGGACACTCTGTAAACGATTAAGACCCTAAAGTTGTCAGTTGTGGCTAAGGAAATAAAAGTTAACAGTTCAAAAATTAATCATGTTCACTGCTCAAAATATAACAACAGGAAAAATGTTTGCATATTTCTAGCCTTAAATTTTTTTGGTCAGATTTCCTAGTATTTTCCTAGTATTTTCCTAGTTATAAAGGTGGTTTTGGAAGTTGTATTTATTCTTCAGCATGGTGGGATACTGTTTAGATTGATGCCTTGTCTGCATTCATAACCTCAAGCTCCCAAGATGCTATTTAGAGTTATGCCAGTTGGTTCCTTGATAAAATTAATACAGCGTCTAGAGTTCCTAACTTACATCCAAAGAAGTGCTTAAACCAATGATTTCCATCTGCTTCTATGACACTCCCAGGGAATCTCAGGTTACTTCAAATGAGATCAGAAATTCTCAGATAAAATTAATCTGGGTATACAAATCTTACACACATATACTTCCGTATGCCAGATATAAATATATACCTACGTGCACATAGTCCTTCTGGAAGAGGTAAAGTCAGAAAATCAATAAGGTAATTGTATACTAAGATCCTAGAAGGGTAAGATGATCACAAATTATAATATGTATCATAAACTAATCATAGAAAATAAAACTCCACTCAATTTATACAACATCATAAAGTTGGATCACAATGGAAAAAAAGTTTTAGGGGTCAAAATCGATGAAGTTATTTTTGAAATAGACGATTTTGCAGATTAACGACTAGCAGACCCAATGGGATCTTAATCTGGTTGCGCGGCTGATTCCTTTGCTCCACTTTTTTTCATCTCTAAATTATGCTTCATGCCTATCTCTAAATGGAAAAGCAGTTAATCCTGCATATCAATACAATTTTTTAAGACATCCTTGTTGTAATGAAGTCAACTCACAATCAATACTTGTATTTAAAATATTACGCACACACACACACAGGTCAAGAGTTAAGAAAATGTTTTCAGTGCAATTGTAACAAACCAAACCTCCTGTAACTAGACTGTTCACTGATTCCCTGAGGATATGCATTGGGAGGGGCCCAAGGGGTTCCCTGGACTCAGATCATGTGACCAAGTAAAAAAATTCTTTACTTAAAGCAAATTACTTTTCTACCTTCAGATTAAGTCAGTGATTAAGAGCATGAACATGTCACTTCCTAACTCTATAACTATGGGCAAGTTTTTCATCCACGCCCTGCCTTAGTTTCTCCATCTGTAAAAAGGAGAAAATAGTGCTTACCCCTATGGAATTGCTGTGAAGATTAAACGAGTAAGGATAAAGTACTAGTGCCACGCACATAGTAAATATTCAATAAGTATAAACTCTGTCAGGTGCAGTGGCTCACACTATAATACCAGCACTTTGGAAAGCCAAGGCTATAGGATTGCTTGAACCTAGGAGTTCAAGACCAGCCTGAACAACATAGGGAGACCTTGTCTCCACCAAAAAAAAAAAAAAAAAAATTTTTTTAATGAGCCAGGCATGGTGGCTCACGTCTGTAGTTCCAGCTACTCAGGAGACTGAGGTGGAAGAATCGCCTGAGCTTCAGAGATCAAGGCTGCAATAAGCCAGGACTGTGCCACTGCACTCCAGTCTGGGTGACAGAGTGAGACTCTAAAAATAAATAAATAAATGTTTGCAATATTATGCAATACTATCTCAGTGCTAGATTTTTTTTTTTTTTTTTTTTTGAGTTGGAGTTATTCTCTGTCGCCCAGACTAGAGTGCAGTGGCCGCTCCCGGCCACCACAGCCTCGACCTGCTGGGCTCCGGCGATCCTTCTGCCTCAGCCTTCCAAGTAGCTGGAACTACAGGTGCGCGCTACCACGCCCGGCAAATTTTTTGATTTATTGTAGAGATGAGGTCTCGTCAAGTTGCCCGGGCGGGTCTCGAACCCGCGGGCTCAGGCAATCCACTCGCCTCAGCCTCCCAAAGTCGTGGGATTACAGGCTGAGCCACCAAGCCCGGCTGTGTGTTAGATTTTTATGTGTTAAATGTTCGGCATTAAATATTCATAATTTAACTAGGCCTGCATATTGAGTGGCATATTTGTCCCCTATACATCCTGAAAAGTTTGGAGTTGGTGGGAACTGCTTTGGCTGGGTATCTGGACATGCACTGGCGGCTCAACCACATGAGCACCAGATTTCTTCCTATAACAAAGGATTTGGACCGGGTGAACTCTATATTCCCTTCTAAGAACTAAAGTCTTATGGAGTTGGCCTCCATCTTGACTTTGAGTTGCAACAGCATCATGTATTTGAAGAAACCAACCAGTATGAAACGGAAGAATCTTGACCAGCAAATATCCTAGACCCAGTCTTTCTCAGGATAGCACATAACAAAATGCTAGGATGAATCAAGTTACATCAAATTCACATTAAAATGACCACATATACCATTTTTATTGGGAAACTTTGGGAAGAATGTGAATCTAATATCTACTGATGAATTATTCAACTATATTTCAGTCTGCTGGCTGATGGGGTGACAGAGTATTTTTCAAGCACTTCTAGAAGGCTTATGAATGCTCTTGAATGTTGGCCTGAAGGTTATTTCTGGTGAAGAATGGACCCATCATGTATAAGAAGGGAGATAGGCACTTTCTTTAGGAAAGGGAAAAGACACCATTATGGAATGCCCCAGGGGATCATTTGAAACCCTTTAAATATTTTTTGGGAAAAGAGTTCTTTATCCTAACTGGATATCTGACCTGCAAATACCTTCCAAGACAAGAACAGTGAGGTCACACACAGAGAGTTAAAGGCTTAGGAAGAAGAGTGAAGGAAGCCCCAATAAACAGAGACTGTTGAGTTCAGGGAAGTTTGTGAAGCCATATGAGATTTAAGTTGAGGTTTAGTCATACCTTTATGATACATGCGTGATTTAGGAGAAGCCGGACCGAAAGATGGCTGATTTCTCAGCAAACACATTGCTTAAAATGCATATGTTCTAACCTAACGTGTTATCTATAAATGCCAGTCATTGCCACAATTAACTAGTAGAGATGCAGAGGGTGGTATTTGAGTTCTTCCCAATCAGGCAACCAGAGGTTTTCAGTCATCCCAAAGTCCCCATTGCCTAAATAGTTCCAAGTTTAAGGCAGCAAATATACACAATATTACCAAATGTAACAGCTTTGAAAAACATTCGTTTGGTCAATGCTGGTGACTTCTGCTTTCACTGGTTTCTTTTTCTTGAAGAGATCAAAATGTTGCTTCTCACAATCCTCTAACTCATCAAGGAGATATCAAAGGAAACATGGATGGTCCATAGCCAGCTAGCATTTCCCACTGAAATAAACAAAGCCCTCTGACTCCCCTCCAGCCAGGAAGCCCTTGCCAACATCTCACTATACAAAGAGAGACTGGTGTCCAGTGGGAACGCAGTAACTGCCAATGACCACGATCACACCTGATACTGTACACCACATCCTCATAAAAAAGCATTTTCTAGAAACGAATAAAATTGTTCCTTAAGACAATAGTTTCGTGCTCATCCAAATACCCACTGGGATATTACACATTAACACACCGTAAAGCAACCCAATTAAAAATTATGCCCCTGCACATAGTCTCACCCACCAAAACATACATCTGCTACTCCAAATATTACGCAACGCTGGAGTCTAAATCGGCCTTAATTTATTAAAAGCCGACGGGCATGGAAATAAATTCTCGATCCTTGGGGTTGTGGCCGCCCTATGCTGCCTTCCCAAAGGTGGACACAAACGTGAACGTGTTATTATTTAAGGCCACGGGAACAACTAAGGTGGCATTTTTCGCATTCACCTTCTCAGGCTCTCCCCAGAACCGCCAGATGAACGCCCACGCCACCTTCTCCCTCCAAAAGTGCATCCGGCTAACGGGTGACTCCGGATCGTGACCTTAGCGCCTCCGTGCCCAATCTCTGGGGAAAGCCTCATCCTAGCAAGTGGCCCCGGCGCGGCCAGCAGAGCCGCCTCCTACGCGGAGGCCGCGCGGTTTCATCATTAACGTTCCTGAAGGACAATAGCTCATCAAGCCCCACCGAAAGCCCCGGACCCGTCGCGGAGCCTGGGCTGGCGGGGGATGAGGCTGAGCGACTCCTCCTAGAGGTGGTTATGTGGAGAAGGAGCAATCCCTTCTCCCTCCTCCTCCTCCCCCCGCTACTATCCGCGGCCCAGAGAACTGCCGCTTGCCGCCATTGACACGCACAGATAGAACCCAAAGAAAGGCAAAGAGTCCTGCCCGGCACCGGCGCCAAGCGGGCCGAACCTGCGCCCGGGGAGGGGCGCGCAGAGGGCACCGGGCGCCCGGAGCCGGCGGCGCAGCACCAGGTGAGCCCGCCATGGCGGTGGCATTATTGTTTAGGGGGCTCCGGGGTCTGGAAACAAAACGCGCCGCCGGGGCAGTGCAGGGGCCGGAGAGAACCACCCCTGCCCCTTCCCCGACCCCCCGCGGGTGCACCCTCGATAGCCGACCTATCCCCTGCAAAAAGAAAAAAATTAATAAATCGAGCCGCCCAACTTGCTTCCTCGAGAAATAAAGGGGGGCTTGCTAAAGAAGTGGTCAGATTCCTACGGCCGGCGAGGGGCCGGGGGCATCGAGAGCAGTGAGGCAGGGAGGGGGTCAGGGTGCGGGGTCCAGCAGCGGGCCCCGGCGAGCCTGGACCCGCAGGAAGAGGAGGGCTCTTGGGGATGCG